TCTGGGATTTTGATTAGGATTGTACTGAATCTATAAGTCACTTTGAGAAGTGACATCTTAAAAATATTGAGTCTTCAAGCTGTAACGTGGTATATTTCTCTACTTATCTAGACCTTCTTTAAGTTTTCACAGCAAAAACCACAGGTCTTTCATATATTTTGTATTTTCATACCATAGGTTTTGCATATATTTGTTAAATTTAACACTGAGTATTTCATGGTTTTAGATGTTATGTCTTGTAAATCTTTAAGCATTTAAGAATGTTTTCAGTTACTGATTGCTAATATGTAGAAACACAATTGATTTTTGTATATTAAGCTTGAAGTCTGTGACCTTTCTAAACTCATTACATTTAATTTTTTTTGTACCTTTCTTAGGATTTTCTATATAGATGTTCATGTCTGCTAATAGAGACAGTTTTACTTCTTCCTTTTCAATCTCAATGGCTTTTATTTATTTTTCTTGCCTTGTTGCATTAGTCAGAACTGCTAGTAAAATATTGACACAGTAAGAATGGGCATCCTCACTTTGTACCCAATTTTAGAGAGTAAGCACTGAGTTTTTCACCATTAAGTATATTGTTAGCTGTAGATTTTTCAAAGATACCCTTTATCAGGTTGAAGGAGTTCCCTTTCATACCTAGTTTTTTGAGAGTTTTTATCTTGAATGAATGTTGAATTTTGTCAGATGCTTTTTTTTTATACATTCCTTGACAGTCATATTGTGTTACTCTTTTTCTGTTAATATGGTCAACTGCATTGATTCATTTTCAAATGTTAAAGCAGCCTTGCATTCCTTATATAAATCACTTGGTCATGGTGTTTAGATTTGGTTTTTGGTTTTTGGCTTTTTTTCCCCCCCTTTCAATGTCTTTGATTTTGGTATCAGAGTAGTGCTGGCTTTATAAAATGAGCTGGGAATTTTTTTTTCCTCTATTTTCTGAAACAGTCTGTAGAATCAGTATCATTTCTGCTCTAAGTGTCTGTAGAATTCACCAGTGAAGCCATCTGGGCCTGGAGTTTTCTTTGTGGGAATGTTTTAAATAGCAAGTTTAATTTCTTTGATAGATATAATGTGCTTTATTGTGATTTATAAGAAATATATATATTTGGTCATTCAGATGACCAAAATATATTTCTCAGAGATATTTGGTCTTCATCCATAGTTCCTAGCCCACAGCTCCCAAAACTCTTGGAATTTCCTGAATAATAAGAGCAATGGGAGCATCCTTTGTTATAATATTTGTTTTTTTTTGTCCTCAGTTCCTGAAAAACAAAAACAAAACCCCCCAAAAACTGCTTCAGAGCCATAAAAGTTAAATGGTGTCTTGTTAACAAGACTTTAGTACCACAAGTGAATTTATGTTAATGAAAGTGACTTTTGCAAAACACCTAAGGGTGGATGGAGGCTGTTTGCCAGGAGAACTAACCACAGATAGAATCAGAATCAGAAACCCTGATTCTGGGGAGGAGAGAGGGGATAGAGGTTGAATCAATCACCAATGGCAAATGAGTTAATCAATCATGCCTATGTAATGAAGCCTCTGTAAAAACCAGAAAAGGAGAGGGTTCTGAGAGCTTCCACATTAGGGAACCGGTATGCTCTCATGTGCCATTGTGCCGGACCACGAGCTCTACAAGGATGGAAGCTCCCTTTTTCAGGCCTTGCCCTATGTATCTCTTCATCTGGTTGTTGGTTTGTATCCTTTAATATGGTTCGTAATAAATCTGTAACTAGTGAGTAAATGGGTTTTCCTGAGTTCTGTAGGCCATTCTAGCAAATTAACTGAACCCAAGGAGGGAGTCGTGGGAACCTCTGATTTATAGCCAGTTGATGAGAAGTACTGGTAATAAGCTGGGCTTGTGACTGGCCTCTGAAGTGGAGGGCAGTTTTGTGGGACTGAGCCCTTGTGGAATCTGATTCTATGTCCCCTAGTAGTGTCAGAGTTGAGACACCAGGAGGGTGTCTGAGAATTGATTGTGTGGGGAACATGCACACTGGAATTGGGTCCAGGAACCCTTTCAAAAGGCTACTCAGATTTCCTATTGCTGTTGTGCTTTTTTTTTCCCCCTTTGAAGGAATTTGTCCATATCCTCTAAGTTGTTGAATGTATGGATATAAAGTTGTTCATCATATTCCCTTATCCTTTTTTTAAAAAATAAATTTATTTATTTATTTTTAGGGTCTTCGTTGCTGCACGTGGCTTTCTCTAGTTGCAGTGAGTGGGGTGGGAGGGGATACTTTTCATTGTGCACGGGCTTCTCACTGTGGTGGCTTCTCTTGTTGCAGAGCATGGGTTCTAGGCACGGGCTTCAGTAGTTGTGGAACACAGGCTCATTAGTTGTGGCTCACGGGCTCAGTGTTGTAGCTCATGGGCTCTAGAGCACAGGCTTAGTAGTTGTGCACAGGCTTAGTTGCTCCATGGCATGTGGGATCTTCCCGGACCAGGGCTCGAACCCATGTCCCCTGTACTGGCAGGCGGATTCTTCACTGCGCCACCAGGGAAGCCCCTTCCCTTATCCTCTTAACATCTGTAAGATTGGTAATGATATTCCCACTTTCAAAGAACTGGGTATTGGTTTTATTGCTTTTTATCTATTACCATATTTGTTTTCTATGTCATTGATTTCTACTCTTTTTTTGTTTACTTTGGGTTTACTTTGTACTTTTCTGTCTTCCTAAGATTGTAGTCTAGATCATTGTGAGATGGGACTATATATGAGCAAGATTGGCCATGAGTTGATAACTGTTAAATGTGGGCGGTGGGTACGTGGAGCATTATTTCATTATACTATTTTTTAATTTATGTATATATTTGACATATAACTTTAAAAATTACATAAAGCAAATAAATCTAACTCCATAGTAATTTTTTTTCACATTTATATGCCTATTGACATTTATTTTTTACCTGGTAGTTTCTGTTTTGTGAATTGGTAAGCTACTTTTAGGATGGCTCCACTGAATTCCTCAATAATTAGGACAATATACCTTTCAGTGGTTCTTCATATTTGTGGGGAGAGAAGAAAAGTGACATGAATCTTGGTGCTATAAACTCTTGAAGAAATTGAGATATTTCACAAACAATGGGGAAAAGAATGGGCAGTAAGTCAGTGTTTATGGAAAAGCAAATTGATACATATTTAATAACAGCAGTATAGTATCAACAATTATCCATCCCGTGATAGTTCCTCCAAAGACAAATTTGGTTAACCAAAATATCTGAAGTAATAATGATAAAATTGTAACATTCATTTAGTGTAGTTCATGGGTAGCAGATATTTTTGTTGTGTTGTATACAAATTTCTTGTGTTCTCCACCTTCCTCACAAAAGAAGATATTTTCTATTACATTGCCTTTTAAGTATAATCGTCTTAATGTACCTATGTACATGTAGGTGTTAAAGAGAAAAATATATGCACAATGCTCTACATATTTTCTTTAGGAGTAGACTTGTGCATATCACATAGCTTCTTCCATACATTTTTGTTTTGTTTTGTATTGTTTTGTCTTGCCTTGTTTTTTGTTGTTGTTGTTCTTATTCTGGAGCTTTTTGTTGGTGAGCCAAATTGGTATGGCACATTTGTAACTTATTTTTGCTTAAGGGTAACATTGATTTTTAGTCAAATACATAAATGTACCCATTTCTATTGACTCATTTGGTGTCAGTAACTTCACGTGCTAGTGCTGGGCTGATGTGTGTTTCTCATTCCCACTCAGTCATCCATATCTACCCACCAAAATAATAATAACAACAACAGTGAAGATACATTTTATACTGCTTTTGTGCTCAAAGAGTTGGAAAGAGAAAGAGTGGCTTCTTTGCTTTGCTTTAAAAATAAACCTCTGTCCATAAACATGGGTGGATTTTCATCCTGTTTTATTCCCATTTGCTGGGGATTAATTGATAGAAGAGTAGAGAAATGCAGATTGCTTAGGCAGAGAGAAGGGTAGGAAAGGGATCTTATAATTTATTCTAATACAAATATAGGTACCTCATTTTTTTTGAGTGAACGGATTTCAGGAACTTTGCTTTGCTTCTGTAAAACCATTGTATTGGATTACTTGATCTGATTGTGTCCTGAACGTGAAACTTTGACCACACCTTTCCATTTAATGTCATTTTAAAATGATAGTAACTGTAAGGCATAACCAATGGTTGCCTTGATTAATATTAGCTAAAGTTCTAGATCATACCCATATATCGTCCTACTGGTATCAAGGAATGAAGGACTATTTAAAATAGTTCTGCTATAGCACTAGAGCAAGTTAATATTTTCTAGAGCTTCAAGTGTTATAGTGATAAACCTGGACTCTTTCTGTTTAACTTGAACAGTCTTATTTGCAGTGTCAAAGGAATTGCTGTATATGCTGCAACAGAAGTAATACAATGTTGTGTGATGGGATAAGAAATACAATTGCACGTCAGATAAAATAGAAAGCAGCTACCAGAGTCAGATATACCTTACAAATATTCACTGAGAAGCAAGACAATTTAGTTTTTCCAGGGTTTAAATCCCATCTAGCTATATAACTCTGGGTAAATGATACATTCTCTGTGCCCCATTTTTCTCATCTGTAAAGTGAAAATAACACCTACCTCATGGAGTTGCTATGAGATATAAATGAGTTAGTTTAAATGTTGATTTCCATACGTTCTTTGTTATGGTAGCATAATGGTAGAGCCCATTCTTTATTTGTCTTGTATATCTAACCACTATGTGCTGTGCAGGGAAGGTATATAGTAAATATAGTTGAATGAAGATAAGAGTGAGATCTAATATGAAAAATACGTATCCAATATTCTGTTTTAGAATAAAATCAACTTCCACTGTAATGTAGTTGTAATTCATTGCTATTTGTTTGATTTATTTGAAAGTGTTTTTTTAGTGTTTCAGAAACTTCTTTTCAGTAGATAAGCAGAATAGCTGTTGTAAACATGTGTACTTAGTATCTCCCTTCTTTTTTTTTTTTTTTTGGTGTGGTGGTGGTGGAAATAGTGCCTCAGTGTGTTTGGAGAATAAATGTGGATATCCCTGAAGAAGCTAATCAGAATCTTTCATTCAGTGCTACTGAGCGATGGTGGGAACAGACAGATTTGACCAAACTAATCATATCAAACAATAAACTTCAGTCACTTACTGATGACCTCCGTCTCCTTCCTGCACTGACTGTTCTTGATGTAAGTTGACTGATTATAAATATGGATCTTCGTCTGAAGAGACTCTAAAGCTAAATTTAGGCTTTGAGAAATAGAAGACCCATGTTCAACCGGTAGAGTGCAAGGAAGAATAACAAATTACTGTGTTCGGCATAGCATAATGGTTGAGTGCAGAGTCAGAACATCAGGCTTCAAATTTTGACTCTGCCACTTGATAGCTGTGTGATCTCAGGAAAGTTACCTCTTTGTGCTTCAGTTTCCACATTTATAAACTGAGACTGGTACTACTATCTGTTTTTAAAAATTGTTCTTTGAATTAAATGAGTTAATGCCTACAGACAGAATTGGTATTTAACAAGTGGTTGCTGCTGCTCGTCTTTTTTTTTATTGCTATTATTACTTTTTTTTTTTTCCTGCGGTACGCGGGCCTCTTACTGTTGTGGCCTCTCCCGTTGCGGAGGCTGCGGACACGCAGGCTCAGCGGCCACGGCTCATGGGCCCAGACGCTCCGTGGCATGTGGGATCTTCCCGGACCGGGGCACTAACCCGTGTACCCTGCATCGGCAGGTGGACTCCCAACCACTGCGCCACCAGGGAAGCCCTATTGCTATTATTTTTATCATCATTATTATTGTAGGTGTTAAAGCAAGTATTTAATATTGTTTTGTTTTTTGTTTTTGGTTCTTTTTTTTTTGGTTTTGGGGGGGGGGGTTTTGGTAACTTATCTCCAAGACTGACTTGAATTATTGGGCTTAAATTTTTGTATGTTTATTCAGGGAGTATGTTTTTTTTTTTTTTTTTAGGTTCCGTGTATATGTGTTAGCATTCCGTACAACAGCAAGTGTCATACCGTATATTATGACACTTGTTTTTCTTTGGTTTCTTTTTTTTAATCAGGGCAGAGGAGTGGGGGGGGGGTTGAGTGAGGACTCAGGGTCCCTATCTCTTTCTTTCATGAAATATTTCAAATAAACGGTAAGTATAGAAAAGCTGAGAAGCACCCATGTACCCACCCCAATCCCCCCATTTCGTATAAAGGCTAAAATTTCCCAAGTTTCCTCAGCCTTTGTAAAGCAGATCTTTCAGATGTAAGTGAAAATTCCTGCCCACGACTCCTAACTTTCATTCATTCATTTCATTTCATTGCCAATGTATGAGCACGGGGTTTGTTATCCCTATGCACGTTTTATCCATGCTCCTACTGATACACACTTAAACTGTTCCCGAGTTTTCACAGCAGACACCGCCCACTATTGTACCTATCTCCTGGGATCCTCCCGGACCGGGGCACGAACCTGCGTCCCCTAGCATCGGCAGGTGGACTCTCAACCACTGCGCCACCAGGGAAGCCCAGGGACTGTTTTTAATCCCTAGTTGCCATGTCATGAGTAGTTTATTTCATAATCTACAGACTTCTGATATACTTTACTTAGGATCATCAAAAATCTTCCATTTCATGTCTGAAAAAGTTGGATGTAGTCAGATTTCTAGAGAAGTTTTTGTTTTCTTCATTTGTTAAATGAATGAATTGGCATAAGTGTTCTCTTAAAGGTTCCATGTACCTTGAAAGCAATATGATTCTGTAAGAACATGAGAGAAGTCTCCCTCCTCATTTATTTTTTGTAAATGTTGACATAAATCATACCATCAGAGGGCTGTTAGTTTCTGACCTTGTCATCTCTCATTTGAGATTGAAGTTCCACTCAGTGAGGGGAAGTTTGTTTTTTTTTTAACTGTAGTATTTTAAAATTGATCTCTTATCACTTCATGATTTATTAGCAGCAGTTTGGTCAATTTCAAGCTCCTTTTTCTTTTCTATACTCAAAACAAATTACCAATAGCCCAGCTATGCTTTTGAGCTAGAATAATGAGACTATCATCAGAGAATATTGTACAATAGCAAAGCTCATGGTTAATTATAAGACTAAGATATTGACTGTGTCTTTTAATAACTTTTAGATACATGATAATCAGCTGACATCCCTTCCTTCTGCTCTAAGAGAGTTAGAAAATCTTCAGAAACTTAATGTCAGGTAAAATTTAAACTTATTTCAGTATTGCTAGTATAAGGGTGTAAATCTAACATTTAAAAATTTTTTTTTTCAAACACTTTTTCTAACATGTAAAAAATGTTTTGTATTACCTCAGAAAGTGATTAAGCAGAATAATAATTTTAAGTTTTAATTCTCAGATTATTTTATTTTTTGTTTTAGAATTGCCTGCATGTTTTCTGGTTTTACAAATTTAAGGCCAGTTGATTTTTTTAAAAATACTTTTTATTTTTATGAAATAATTTTTAGTGGTTATATGAGGAAAATTTCATGTTTTCGATATTAGTAGTTTTTAAACTTTTCTGAGGACTCCTGGGATTCCATGGGTATGCGTCTGGTACTCACTGATATGTACATGGGAAGCCAGGTGGCTAAGGCCCTAGGTAACTCTTTGCCCTTCAGTACACACTCAGACTTTCAAGAAAAATAACTGCCTTATATGTTATATATACACAGGGGGAAAGGGATTAGGGAAGATTTAATTTAGGAGAAAAAAATGAAAAAGTTTAAGTGTTCAAAACATAGTTTGAAAAGCTGGGGCTTATAAAATAGATATAAATCTATCTATCACAGCATGATAAAGTTGCAGTTTTCTGGAGTTAACTGGTTTGAGGGAGAACAGTTCCTCAAATAACAGTCCTTATTTGGTGAAAAATAAGACTGGAGTTGCATATTGCATTCATCTGGACATGCCAGGCCCTCAAACAGAAATAGCTATTTTTGTCTTGAGTGCTATGTTGAAACCTAATCCCCATGTAAAATGTGACTTCATTGTCGTGTCTGTATGTGCACATCTTTGTCAAAATTCTAAACCTCATATGCAGTGTAAAAATTATAGCCCAAGGTATTCATTTATATGTAAAATCAAGTTGATTAAAAGGAACCAATCAAAAGTTCACAAATTATATGTTTGGTTAAAAACCTTTATTTCTTTGAAACTCTCAATTTGATTACTTTAGATTGCTGTCATTTTAATGGGTGTGTACTTTTAGGATGTAAAGTTTGTAAGTACTTAAAATTAGTAACCTTACTTCATTTTTTTTAATGAGCCCAGGTAGTTGATTAGCAAAAATGCCTTTATAAATATTTATTGTGTTGTCACCAAATTGTTCAGCATTTGTTTTATCAATCAATAGCCATAACAATCTGAAAATACTCCCTGAAGAAATTACAAATCTAAGAAACCTGAAGGGCCTATATCTCCAGCATAATGAACTAACTTGCATACCAAGGGGATTTGAACAACTTTCCAACTTAGAAGATTTAGTAAGTTTTGATTTTGCAATATTTATATAATTTGGGGCTGGTGGGATTTTTTATTAGGCTGAAAAATTGGATGTATGATTGAAATCATGGTTACATGGGCAGCTGATTGTATGACTAGATTATCAGAAACAGTGAATTACAATTAGAATGCTAAATTAGTAATTGTAAATTTGATTTTCTTACGTTTTTCTTATGAAGGAAATCACCTTAGATTTTAATTTAGGAATAGAGTTTGGGAAAGGAGCCATTGAGGATGACTTTGTTATTCAGAGGCTTTTATGGCTTAGCATAGAGGAAAGGTGTTTTTAGTGTATACCAATTCCCTTTTTTATCTCCATTTTCATTTCCTCCTCTGTAGCCCTTATGGCCCTTTTGTCCTCTGAGTGTCCAGATAATGCCTTCAGGGCCTGTTTTTTCTACCCTATTTTTCAAAATTGCCATATTTCTTAGTAAAAATTTTTATTCTATCCATTTCACATCTTAAATAGAGATAACCATAAAGCAATGCAAGTATTATTTTAGTCATATTGTTAAGAATAATACAAACAATAGGCACTTTGCTATACCTATAGCATATTACTATATTTGCTATACATATAGTATATTACATATTACTTTGCTATAACACATAGCAAAGTAGATAGTTTTATCCCCATTACAGATAAGAAACTAAGACTTGTAAAAAACAAAAGAATAACTCATCCAAAGTCATATAACTAATATGTAAGGAATTTAGGAATTTAACATAAAATAATCTGACTTCAAAGTGTATCCTTTTTTTTGTTCCCCCACTTTACCACGGAAGAAGTAAGACTCTACTGTAAGGTATCCTATCTGAAAGACTTCAGCTGTATTCGATCAGATGTTCTAATATAAATCTCTACCCCACATAGTTATTTCATGTTACATTCTTGTTCTAGTCACAATTACATGTTTTGAAAAACTCATTAGTTATCTTAGCCTTAAAGTTTATTTTTTATTCAAGGAAAAATTGCTTCTTTTACTTATTTTTTTCTTGATATTCCACCCATCTGCACCAGTGTTTGAAATCAAAGTACATACTCTCTTCAACCATTTCTTCAGTAGCTCTTTGTTTTTCAATCTGATCAGATTGGAAATAAGGTTTGGAAAGTAAAAGGCATAGGTAGGTGAAATGAGTGGTAAAGGAAGGAGCCATCTGATTTCCTTATAAAATTTGCTGGTAAAAGACAGCAATTGATTTAAAAAGAAGAAGAAAAAAAAACTAGTAGAAAGCTTAAAGGAAACCTAATAAACTTTCCTTATGGGTTCCCAGATAGTCATTGCATAATGAAAGGATGCTTCAGCTGAGAACTGTGTTCTTAAGGACTCATTATCAAATAAATCATAAATGTGAGCAACAATATATTAAAACATTAAAAGTAAAAGATCTATAATAATTTAAGCTAGTAATATTTCTTAAAGTTATATAAAAACTGCTTAACACAATGGTACTAAATAAATAATGAAGAAATGACTTAGCATAAATAATGATTAATTTATATGCACTGTACTTATTTTATATCTAATTTAGTTATTAACTGTAGTAATTAAATATTTATTAGCAATTCTGTTGTTTTGGGTTCTTTAAAACTTCTTAAGAATTTGCGAATCGTCTCTTTATCAGAAACTTTTTTTATTTTTAGCTTTTGATATTGGAATAATTTTAGATTTACAGAAAAGTTGTAAAGATAGTACAGAGAGATCCCATATATCCTTCACCCACCTTAATGGGCAAACTTTTTTTTTTTTTTTTGCGGTACGCGGGCCTCTCACTGCTGTGGCCTCTCCCATTGTGGAGCACAGGCTCCGGATGCGCAGGCTCAGCGGCCGTGGCCCACGGGCCCAGCCGCTCCGCGGCATGTGGGATCTTCCCGGACCGGGGCACGAACCCATGTCCCCTGCATCGGCAGGCGGACTCTCAACCACTGCGCCACCAGGGAAGCCCTAATGGGCGAACATTTTACATAACTATGGGATATTTGTAAAAACTAAGAAATTAACATTGGTACAATATTACTATCTAAACTACAGATTTTATATTTTCCCAGTTTTTCTACCAATGTCCTTTTTTTTGTTCCAGGATCCAATCCAGAATACTACATTGCATTTAGTGTCAGTAACTTTTGATATTACTAAATATTTATTTATTAGTAATTTGTTGATTCTTAGACCTTAGAGTATTTGAGTTGTATATTTTATATTGATGTTGTAGATTATGATAATGTTATTTTATGTTGTTATAATAACAGTATGTTTTAAAAACACTGATCTAGCATTTTTCCTTTTTCAGTCTTAATTTATTTGGAGTTACAGTTGTTTAATGTTAGACTAAATCATAGTCTTCAGAGAACAGTTCCTTTAAGTCATTTTTTTCTTATTCATTGTTGCCACTTGCCTTACCTAACAGTTTGATGATAGCTGGTGTAGTACTTATATCTGATTTGAATGTTGTAAGAAGAATACCTGATTCATAACATTGTCTTTTAAAGGGAGTGTCAAAAAAATATTCTGTCATAAAAGACAAAACAGAAACAAAGACTTAAAGCAACATCAAGGTATAGAGATTAATTAGGCAAGCTTGAATGAGTGAAAACTAGAGAGTAGAGTAGACTTCTGTACTTAGTTAAAGCAGACTTGCTGAGGTCAGCAGAACCAAGAGGGAATATTTTTTTCCTCCCAAATTAAAATGGCCATTTTTTTTCAGCTTACTTTTTTTTCTTCCAAGAATTTTTCTTTCTTGCAAAGATGTTTTTCATTTCATATTACAGTTTAACCATACAGTTTGCCTGATTTATCATAGGTACTCAACAAATATTGGTTGAAAAAAATAGATATTTTTTTGAAAACATGATAACATGATACAGCATGACTTAATATTAACAGAAACCTTTGTGTAAAGTATTTTTGAAGTCAGAATTCATTTTAATTCCTCTCTGCTACACTATTAGGCACATAGTAGGCCCACAGAGTATATTGAGGTAATGAATGATGATCTGTGAAATTGTCAGTGAATGAGAGTTACAAAACATATCATCTGTAAATAGTTTTTTTAATGTTGCAGTGCCCTCAAAATTCTGAAACTCCCCTAGGGATCCTTTCTTTTTTTATTTACTTGTTCATTCATTCGCTTTGTCTTTCTCTTTTTAAAGGATCTTTCGAACAATCATCTTACAACTGTTCCTGCTAGTTTTGCTTCTCTGTCCAGCCTGCTGCAACTCAATCTTTCCAGTAATCAACTGAAGAGTTTGCCTGCAGAAATAAGTGGAATGAAAAGTAAATCTTCTCTATTTCAAAAAATAAAAAAATTTGAAGTTGGTGCAACTTACATTTAAAAAAATAAATTTTTTTATAGTTAGTTACAGAGAAGTAAAATAATAGATTTTATGGTGGTAAATGCAAACAATAACCACTAGTTAGATTTTCTCCAGGCCATTGTAGTCTAGCAACTTTGTAAAGAATTACCACCAGGGGACTTCCCTGATGGTCCAGTGGGTAAGACTCTGTGCTCCCAATGCAGGGGGCCCGGGTTCAATCCCTGGTTGGGGACCTAGATCCCGCATGCATGCCGCAACTAAGAGTTCACATGCCGCAACTAAGAAGTCCGCATGCTGCAACTAAGAGTCCACATGCCACAACTAAGATCCTGTGTGCCACAACTAAGACTAGGTGCAGCCTAAATAAATACATAAATAAATAAATAATAAAACAAAACAATAAAAAAAAGAATTACTGCCAGAACAATACTTTGGCATATCAAAAAGAGAAAAAGAAAATAAGATTATAAATTGTGGTAATATTGTATACCTGAGAAATTGATTAAGGTTTTAAGCTATTCTATCTCTTCATTCATTTTATTCAACATTTACTAAGAGGTCATTCCCCTTTCCTAGGTGATGCCACCTATGATACATGGTTATGTTATAGCTGTATCCTCCTTGAGGTCCATAAGTAATAATGCCAAGAGATAGACTAGTTTTGCCCAAATTGTCAATTCTTTTTTAAAAAAAAGTTAAAATTTAGTGGTTCCATTAAAGTTTGCCATTGAACCATTATATTTGGTGTATTGTAGAACTAATATTAAGGGATAAAAAAAACTGAAGGTACATTTCAATATCTTTTAAGTAAGTATACTTAATCATGTTAGAATTCTTGATTTAGAGTCCAAAATCTTCATAGTGATTTTTTTTTTTTTTTGTCTAAAGGCAAACTATTATTATTTCTTAGTTGATGACCACACTGTGTCAGCTGTAGACCTTACTACTCTTTTTTGCTAATCATATATGAGCCTTTTCATTTTTTTACACCTCCCTTTTGTGGAGGAAGTCATAGATGTGATTTCGTACAGTTGATTACAGATTATTTTGCAGTGAACTTGTACAATTGTGCTGTTTGACTTTTTAAAAAATTAATGTATAATTGACTAACAATATTATATTATTTCAGGTGTATAAGATAGTGATATTTTTATACATTACAAAATGATCACTGCTGTTTTACTTTAGATTAATGGTTATTTGTAATTTATAATAGGAATGCATAAATTAAATCTGCCATAAATTGAATTGACATTTCAGGGGAGCCTTTAGTTGTGATACCAGTAGTTGACTCTGCTTGCCTTTGCCATTTTCAATAAAGGTATCAGAAAGTAGAGCTAAACATAAAGTATGATATCTGGAGTGTGTATGTAAGCATTTTTTTTTTCACAGATTGAGTAGAAATATTGAGAGAGAGGAGCAAATATTGAAGTCAATAGAAAAATACTTTGAACTTACAGCAGTTTTTCTAATATACTATATAATTATGCTCAAATGCTTTCTGTCCTTCAGCCATGACAATGATACTTTTAAGCTGTCACCAGTAGGACATTTAGTTATTATTTCACTATTCATGATGAGATTCCAAGAACAGTATCTAACATTTGCATGGTTCTTTGTAACTCAGAATACTTTTAAATATATTATTTTGCTGCCACAGTAGTTCTACAAGTTAGTAGGGATGCATATTATTTACATTTTAAAGATTCAGAAAAAAAGAAAAAAAAAGATTCAGAAACCTAGGCTTAGAAATTATGTAGTAAATTGTAGAGCCAGCATTTGCATCTTCTTACTCCATCCCCATTGCTCTTTTTTTTCACTTTTACTATTCATATTTTTTAATTTATTTTTTATTGAAGTATCATTGATTTACAATGTTGTGTTAATTTCTGCTGTACAGCAAAGTTATACATATATAAACAATCTATTTTTTTTTAAATAGATCTTTACTGGAGTATAATTGCTTCACAATACTGTGTTAGTTTCTCTTGTACACCAAAGTGAATCAGCCATATGCATACATATGTCCCCATATCCCCTCCCTCTTGAGCCTCCCTCCCATCCTCCCTATCCCAGCCCTCTAGGTCATCGCAGAGCACCAAGCTGATCTCCCTGTGCCATGCTACTGCTTCCCACCAGCTAACTATTTTACATTTGGTAGTGTATATAAGTCGATGCTACTCTCACTTCGCCCCAGCTTCCCCCTCCCACCCCGTGTCCTCAAGTCCATTCTCTATGTCTACATCTTTATTCCTGCCCTGCAACTAGGTTCATCAGAACCAATTTTTTTTTTTTTAGATTCCATATATATGCGTTAGCATACGGTATTTGTTTTTATCTTTCTGACTTACTTCACTCTGTAGGACAGACTCTAGGTCCATCCACCTCACTTTCTTCTATGTACTGCTTCTATTCTCAATCAGTGCTCTTAGATGGAAACACTTGTGAAAGCTAGTTTCTAAATTTAAAGCAAACTTGCTTTATAGAATTTATTGGATCTAGGGTGGATCAGATTGTGACATTTTTCTCAGTGATCTAGCCAAATAATACATAAATTATTATAAGTTGAAAGTAGTACTATTAAATTTGTTTTGGAAAGCAGTTAACTTCTTTGAAAAAAACATGAAAGAAATAATTCAGTCTTGAATTATGTTAAAATTGACAGGCTCAAAGTACAGGAAAAAAAAGTTGTAAAATGCATATTGCCTATTCAAACTATAGGGTTGAGAATATATAGTGGAAAATATATGGTGGCCATTGTAAGTGGAAGAATCTGTAATATGGATTAGGGAGAAAACTGCTTATTAAAGTCTTAAGAGAAAGAAGACCTTTACTTTTTTTCCATTTTTGTTTTCTGTTCTGCCTTTTAAGAAAGATCCAGGAGGTGAGAGAGATGCTGCAAGTGAGAACATTCTTCTTGAGCTATCTTATACCTTCTTATCAAGAGTGTTAGCTAAGGTGTTAGCAAAAGAATGTAACTTAAAAAAAATTAGAAGAAGAAAGGAAGGAAAGAAGACAGGGAGAGAGGCAGTATGAGTAGATGAAAGAATAAGAGGGAATACATAGAAATCCATGGGTTTTTGACAGAACATCAGTTGCCTATTTTAAATACAGATGTGTCTAAGCTACTACTGGCCAGAGTTACTTGACATTCTTTCATACGAGTAGTATGCATGTATGTTTACCTTAAACTTTTTCTTTTTAAAGATGTATAATTACTGAGGGAAATAATCTCATAGTATATAGTTTATACATTTTAGCATACTTTAAAGGAGTACTAGAGTACTTTGTTTTTTAAATCTTTACAAAGATGACCTGAACTATTATTAAACATTGATTTTAATATCGTTTCTCTTTAATTATAACTAAATATAAAACATTTTTAGTTTACATTTATGTAATTCAATGGTATTCTAGGATTCTTGATTATTATAGCAGTATAGAACATCACAGGTTTGTAAGTCCTCATGATTACTTACACATTATTTGAATGTATATACAATTATAAACCAATATTTTTTCTCTATTAAAATATCTTTGTGTTTCACTAAATATATATTACAGGATTAAAGCATTTGGATTGTAATTCAAATCTCTTGGAAACTATACCTTCTGAATTGGCTAGCATGGAATCACTAGAATTGCTTTATTTGCGGAGGAATAAATTACGTTTTCTACCAGAATTTTCTTCTTGTAAATTATTAAAGGTACTATTTAGTTGATTATTAAATAACTATACATTTTCTGAAAGTTAATCATGAAAATGAAATTTTAAACGTATTTTACATTGAGAATATGTATTAGTTATGTGTTATTTTTTCCCATATTCCTATTTTTCAGAATTTTAATGACTAAATATATTAATGGTATTGTTAATAATAGATTTTTTTTAAAAAAAGCAGTAATCAATTTTAAAAATAAGAATTTGTCCGTTTCATCTGGAGAGCAGTTTATAACTGGAGAAGTGGTAGATGATGAGACTAACAAAGTAAGTTGGGACCATAGTGCAGGAAACCTGGAATACCAGGAATGAATACATATCTAATTCTATAAATTGCCAACTCATGTTTACCTCATCATAAAGTCTGTTTAAAATTAATTACTTTTTTTGGTATTAAGTGTATAGCATTAACATTGTATTTAAATTTGCTATGCTTTGCTTTCTGTATGTATACTTTTATGCGTTAGTGTTGAGTTTGTTTTGTTTTTTGTTTGTTTTCTGAGTATAGTTGCTTTACAATGTTGTGTTCCTTTCTGCTGTACAGCGAAGTGAGTCAGCTATATGTATGCATATATCTGCTCCCTCTTGGACCTCTCTCCCAGCCCCCGCACCCCGTCACACCCATCTAGGTCATCACAGAGCACCAAGCTGAGCTCCCTGTGCTATACAGCAGGATCCCACTAGCTATCAGTTTTACACATGGTACTGTGTATATGTCAATACTAATCTCCCAATTTGTCCCCCCATCCCCCTCTGTCCACACGTCCATTTTCTATGTCTGCATCTCTTGCTGCCCTGCAAATAGGTTCATCTCTACCATTTTTCTAGATTCCACACATATGCGTTAATATACGATACTTGTTTTTTTTCTTCCTGACTTACTTCACTCTGTATGACAGACTCTAGGTCCATCCACCTCACTACAAATAACTCAGTTTCGTTCCTTTTTATGGCTGAGTAATATTCCATTGTATATATGTACCACATCTTCTTTATCCATTCATCTGTTGATGGACATTTAGGTTGCTTCCATGTCCTGGCTATTGTAAATAGTGCTGCAATGAATATTGGGGTACATGTGTCTTTTTGAATTATGGTTTTCTCAGGGTATATGCCCAGTAGTGGGATTGCTGGGTCATATAGTAGTTGGATTTTTAGTTTTTTAAGGAATCTCTCCATACTGTTCTCCATAGTGGCTGTATCAATTTGCATTCCCAACCAACAGTGCAAGAGGGTTCCCTTTTCACCACACCCTCTCCAGCATTTATTGTTTGTAGATTTTTTTTGATGATCGCCATTCTGACCCACGTGAGATGATACCTCATTGTAGTTTTGATTTGCATTTCTCTAATAATTAGTGATGTTGAGCATCTTTTCATGTGCCTCTTGGCCATCCATCTGTATGTCTTCTTTGGAAAAACGTCTATTTAGGTCTTCCGCCCATTCTTTGATTGGGTTGTTTGTTTTTTTAATATTGAGCTACATGAGCTGTTTGTATATTTTGGAGATTAATCCTTTGTCAGTTGCTTTGTTTGCAAATACTTTCTCCCTTTCTGAGGGTTCTCTTTTCGTCTTATTTATTGTTTCCTTTGCTGTGCAAAAGCTTTTAAGTTTAACATCATACACAAAAATAAACTCAAAACGAATTAAAGACCTAAATGTAAGACTGAACACTATAAAACTCTTGGAGGAAAAGATAGGCAAAACACTCTGACATAAATCACAAAAAGATCTTTTTTGACCCACCCCCTAGAGTAATGAAAATAAAACAAAAATAAACATATGAGACCTAATTAAATTTAAAATCTGTCACACAGCAAAGAAAGCCATAAACAAGAGTTACTTTTAAACAGAATGGTGACAATGATATAAATAACTGAAAAAGTTATCATTTAATAAGATTATCTCATAATCTTAGATTCTGCTAGTGAGAAATCAGTATATATAATAATCACTAATAAAAATGTTGAGTAACAAACATTTATTATAATATAAATAACTTTTTAAACTTGTACTGATTTGTTTTAAAACTTTAATTTTTTATCAGTATAGTTCTTGGATTTGTGTTTTTATTAATTCTATAAATGTAACTACTAAATCATTTCTCTGCTTTGGTTTTATAAACTTTGAACTTTCTTCCAGTTTAAACCTTTAATTAATTTTTAAATTACTAGGAAATTCCTGAAAATTTTCCTTTTTGTCATTTTTCTTTAACTGTAAGATCACTTAAATATAATTAAAAATTTAAGCATCTTAGTAATTAGAAAATTTTCCATGTATTTTTCAATGATTTGAAATCAAGATTTCAATTTTATTTTCATTATCTAGTATAAAGTTGAGTACAGAAATACACATGATTGATCTTTGCTTTTGTAGGAATTACATGTAGGTGAAAACCAGATTGAAATGTTGGGGGCAGAACACCTTAAGCATCTGAATTCTATCCTTGTGCTAGACCTGCGAGATAACAAGTTAAAATCTGTTCCAGATGAAATTACACTCCTGCAATCTTTGGAAAGGCTTGACCTAAGCAACAATGATATTAGTAGGTAAGTTTAAAGATGGAATGAATAAGAAATCATGTCTGTATTTAGTTGTAATTCATCAGTTACAAAAGCATGTAGAGATCTCTTTTGTAAATCGAATTCAATAACTGTTTATTGAGTAGGTATCATGTGTAGACCTACAAAGATTTTGTTCTTGGCAGCAAGCTTAATGTGCTAATGGAATCAGTTACTCCAACTCACTGGGACACAAACTCTACAAATAACTCCTAGATCAGTGCCTGGGTACATACAAGCTGCCTGATAAATATTTGTTGAATTTGTTAAATGACGTAAAGCCGTGGGAGAGATACGAAATACTTTGGGGGTTTAAAGGAGATACAGGAATCACAATTTATTGAGAAGAATCAGGGCAGAGTTTGTGGAAGAAGTAAAATTTTTAGATGATATTATAGAACTGGGACCAGGGTGAAGCAAGTTAATTGCCTAGAGCACAAAATTTAAATGTACTCACAGGGTCATGCATCATTATAGTCCTATCATGTGATCTTTGAAGGATGACCACTATTTTCAAGTGCATGTGTAAGGTGGTCAGAATGACTCATTTGGCAGGAGGAAACTGTGCAAACAAAGCTCTGAAAGTTTAGAAAATAAATTGTAAGTATATATATAGAGAACAGCAAGGAATCGAGTTGAGATGGTAGGGTGCACGAAAGGAGATTGTGAGAATTTAGGTCTTGAAAGATAAGTTGAGGCCATGTGAAAGAGGTCCTTAAAATGCCTGTGAAGAGCCAGTTTTCATTAATTAAGAGGTGGGGAGATTAAGAACAAAACCAACTTGATTGTAATCTCATTAAAAAATAAATTGGTGATAGTGGGTCAGATACTTTGGATAGGAATGGTTTTGTAGACGGGAATTCTAAAAAATTCTGTTAATCTAATAATGATCACTAAGGAGCACTTGCTATATCCAATTTCCTGAGTTGACAACTTTGTAGATTTCTCTCTTATGTAATAAGGACCTAAACTGTAGTGACAATGGGAATGGAAAGAAGAGGAAAGATGTGAAAGGTGTGATGAGTTAGAATAAGTAGTATTTAGTAATTGATTGTGTTGGAGCTGCAGAGGAAGAGGGTAGTGAGCAAAGAATCATAAGGAGTTATAAAACCATAATATTTAGAGATGGAATTATTTTAGATACATTAAAAAAAGACTCAGACTCACCTAGGATTGTATGCCAGTTAGGTGTCTGAAGTTTTATGTTTGGATGTCAGACACATGGTTTGCTCTTCACAGAAGGAGAAAGGTTAAGCAAGGTAGACTTTCTTCTATGTGTATATTTCAGTAACTTTTTAAAAATCAAAATTGTTTTCACAATGTACATATGGCATATGGTACATCTTTTTATTTTATTTTATTTTATTTTATTTATTGTTTCTGGCTGCATTGGGTCTTCGTTTCTGTGTGCGGGCTTTTCTCTAGTTGCGGTGAGTGGGGGCTACTCTTGGTTGCAGTGCATGGGCTTCTCATTGCGGTGGTGTCTCTTGTTGTGGAGCATGGGCTCTAGGCGTGCGGGCTTCAATAATTGTGGCTCGCAGGTTCTAGAGTGCAGGCTCAGTAGTTGTGGCGCGTTGGCTTAGTTGCTCCATGGCATGTGCATGTGGGATCTTCCTGGACCAGGGCTCGAACCCATGTCCCCTGCATTGGCAGGTGGATTCTTAACCACTGCGCCACCAGGGAAGCCCCATATGGTACATCTTGACCATAGATTTGAATGCTTGGACAGTGACCATTCTTTCCACTCACTTCTATTTATGACAGAATTAATAAGTGACCTGGATATTCCTAAAAGTACTTATAACTAATGAATGAAATAATCGCTTGCCTCATAAACATTGATACATACATTTTTCCCCATAACAGTCTTATTTTGGCTACTACGTGAAAGCAGCAGAAAGCAAATATTTAAAACAAAAACAATGACAGATAATATTAAATAAATAAAGTAATGGGTACAAATATTTCTGATATATATGTTTCTCTTTCTTCAGAGCTCTGGATATAAAGTATGTATATATCACAAGGCCTAGAACATAATGAAAGTAATAAGTATTTTCCTTCCTTTCATCTGATCTCATACTTCCTAGATATTAGACCATTCTATGCATTTTTTACCCCTCTAGAATCTCCTCTAACTAAAATATTGATTCCTTGCAATGCTACCAGAGTAATTTTTATAAAGTACAAATTATCAGGTTGTTCTACTAAAAAACTTTGATGATTCTCCATTCTTACAGCACTGTTTCCCAAATATGGCTATGTATCAGAACCACATGAGAAGCTTTAAGAAAAAATGCAGTTACTGAGGCAACAATGAATCAGAATTTTTAGCAATGGAACCTTAGAATTGTTTTGGGTTTTATTTTTAAAAATTCCTAGGAGATTTTGATGTGTCTGGTTTTCCATCCAGCAGTTGGGAATCACTGTCTTGCAAGATAACGTCCAGAACTTGTAGTGTAACAGCCAAGTACATCTCACAGTCAGACTTCATTCATTCTCTCTTTGTCATCTTTCACTCCCACAGGTATCCTACTCTGACAACACTGAACTGCAAATGTACAGACTTTCTCTTCATTTTCTTTACCTTAGAATGCCCTTTTCCTGCGTGACTGCCTGATGGAATTCCATTCTTTTTAAGCCCAAATCCAAGCTTTGCTATTCCCTTCTCCCTCTACTCCCCTTGCTAATTTCTACTTCTGTACTCTCAGAGCAACTTTACTTGTTTAGCACTTGTCTTATTACATATATATAAAAAAATAATCATTTGTTGATGTATAATCTACATACAGTAAAATCTACCAATTAAAATGTACAATTTGATGATTTTTGACAAATGTATGTAATTGTATAACCATTGTTACAGTCATGAAGAACATTTCTGTTTCCCTAAATTCTCCTCCTACCCTTTGCAGTCAATTCCCTTTTCATATCCCCAACCCCTAGCAACCAGTGATGTGCTCTGTCACTGTAGTTATGCCTTTTAAAAAATATCATATAAGTGAAATCATAGCATATAGTTTTTGTGTCTTTTTTCTTGTAGTATAAAGCTTTTGTGATTCATTCATGTGATTTTGTGTATCAATAGTTCATTCATTTTTATTGCTGAGTGTTATTTCATTATACAGATGTACCACAATTTATTCATCTCTTCACTAGTTAGTTGATGGATGTTTGGATTACTTTCAATTTTCTGACTATTGTGTATATTCATGTAAGTCTTTGGTTGGACATTATTTTCATTTTTCCTGGGTAAATATATAGGAGTGGGATTGCTTAGTTGTATGGTGAGTGTATGTTTAACTTTAAAAAACTCCACTTTCTAGAGTGGCTGTGCTATTTTATATGCTCACCAGCAACATAAGATAATTCCTATATTTTCGCTAGCCATACATGTGTTCTTTTCCTTTGTTCAACTAAAAATTTTTTAAGGGAAAGTTCTTGAAATCCCTATACCAATGCCTAGTATATTATAGATGCTTAATAGATTTTGAGATTTAATATTTATGTGTATAAACTGGTTATCTTTTTGTGTACCAAAGATAAAAATTACTTTCCTTACTGAATGAAAATATGAATTATGCAATTGAAAATTATTCTTTCTCATTTTTTTCAATTAAGAAACATTTTATTTGCTTATATTTACTTTTTATAGCACTGGATACAATTTAGCAAATATTTTATAGCTCACATTCTTTTTTTATCACAATATGATAGTATCGAAACAGATCTCTCTCTCTCTTTTTTTTCTTTTTAAACATGTTTGGCATCTATTTCGAGAGGAAATATTTTAGGTCTAAATTACTTAGGCTTTCTTTGACACTATTTTATGGTGTATAGTTTGTCATATGTTAGTTTTATAATCTACTACTTGGTTAAATTATACTTACCCTTAATGTCTTCCTTGAAATCAATTTAATCTTTTGTAGTCTGCCCTGTTCATTGGGAGAACTTCATTTGAAATTCCTGGCACTAGAAGGAAATCCTTTGAGAACGATTCGAAGAGAAATTATAAATGTAAGCATATTTAGAATTCAGTGCTGGTTTTTAAATTTTGTATTGAAACATACACGTTGATCTATAAAACTGCAATGTATGTCTTGGTGAATATGTCTTTCTCCCCATATTTTCAGAAAGGAACCCAAGAAGTCTTAAAATATCTACGAAGCAAGATTAAAGGTACTTTTCTATTTTCCCCCATATTTTGAAGGATAACATGAAAAGTGGTAAAGAGTTAATAGTATATAAATTTACATGTATTTTTGGTATAAATATTTAGAGAAAATGCTCCCTGGCAGGTGTGGCTCTAATTCTGAATCGACTAGGCCATAAATATGCTGAAATTATTTTAAAAATCATTAAATTCACAATAATACTGTTCTATCCTTAATCTCTTTGAGTTGTGTTATACCGTACCAACTAGAAAATATAAAAAAAGATTCTGTAAGCACCTAATGCTTTACCTTTGAAAAAAGAGCAAAACTTGACTATTAGGTATAATATAAGGGTTCTATTGACTGGGAAGTATATTAACAGGCATTTGAATATATGCTGCATTCATAGTTTTGGTAAGTTCTTACAAAAATAAAGACAAAACACATTTTTTAGGATATGCTAATTTAGCACAAACATGCACCAAAAGAAAAATTACCATAAATTTAATTTTTAATGTTTCACTAAAATTGTGATTTATTCCAGTTTTTATTTCATGTATGTTATTGTAGCACACACTACATTTAGGACATTAAGAAAAAAAATTTTTGTGCCAGCGTAATGCTGCATAACAAACCACTCCGAAACTTAGTGGCTAAATACAGTAGCTATTAATTTAGCTCACAACTCTTGGTTATGCACAGCCTAGTCTAGCACCATATTGTCAGTCAGCAGATGTTAAATAAATAAGATAATTGTATACTTAAGTAATTTATATTTTCCACTTTGCCCTTCAAATAAATTGACGTAATTTTCTAAGACTCATTTTCTGACAATCAGAGAGTGTCCTTTTTTCTCCAGATATACTTTCTCCTCAAGAAAGATTGATTATTCTGATATAAATCAGTCAGAAGTCATGTCAGAATAATTAGAAAAAATTTTAAAGCCTTTTTTTTAGACTAGTTTAAGGTTTACAACAAAATTGAGAGGAAGGTACAGAGATTTCCCATATGTCCTCTGCCTGCACACATATACCCTCCCCCAGTATCAGCAACACTCACCAGAATAGTACATTTTTTACAAAGGCTGAACCTACATTGACACATCAAAATCACCCCAGGTGCATAGGTACCTTAGGGTTCACTCTTGGTGTTGTACATTCTATAGGTTTGAACAAATGTATAATGCCATATATTCATCGTTGTAATATACAAAGTATTTTCACTGCTGTAAAAATCCTCTGTGATCTGCCTATTCATCCTCCCTCCCCCCCACAATCCCTGCCATCCCTGACAACCACTGATCTTTTTCTTGTCTCTGTATTTATGTCTTTTCCAGAATGTCAAATGATTGGAATCATACAGTCTGTAACCTTTTCAGATTGGCTTCTTTCACTTAGTAATATGCATTTAAGCTTCCCTCACGTCTTTTTAAGGCTTGATAGCTTATTTCCTTTTAGCACTGAATGATATTTCACTGTCTGTATGTACCACAGTTTATCTACTCACCTACCTACTGCAAGACGTCACGGTTGCTTCGAAGTTTTGACAGTTATGAATAAAGCTGCTATTTTTTTTTTGTTTTTTGGGTTGTTTTTTTTTTTCTTGCAGTATGCGGGCCTCTCACTGTTGTGGCCTCTCCCACTGCGGAGCACAGGCTCCGGACGCTCAGGCTCAGCGGCCATGGCTCACGGGCCCAGCCGCTCCTCGGCATGTGGGATCTTCCCGAACCGGGGCACGAGTGCGTGTCTCCTGCATCGGCAGGTGGACTCTCAACCACTGCACCACCAGGGAAACCGAAAGCTGCTATTTTGCATATGGATGTCCCATTGTTTCAGCATCATTGTGAAAAAGACTATCTTTGCCTTTGTATATTCCATTGTATTACCTTTGCTCCTTTGTCAAAGATCAGCTGACTACATTTATGGCGGTCTCTTTATGGATTGTCTATTCTGTTCATTGATCTCTTTGTTCTTTTGCCGTATCACACTGTCTTGATTACTGCCTTTAAGTTGGATAGCATCAGTCTTCCAATTTTGTTCTTCTCTTTCAATACTATGTTGCCTATTCTGGCTCTTTTGCCTCTCCATATAAACATTAGAATCAATTTGTTGATACTGACAAAATAACTTGCTGGGATTTTGATTGGAATTACATTGAATATATAGATCAAATAGGGAAGAACTGACATCTTGACAGTATTGTATCTTTCCATCCATGAATATGGGATATCTCTCCATTTATTTAGATCTTTGATTTCATTCATCAAAGTTTTGTAGTTTTCCTCATAAAGTTCTTATTCACATTTATTAGATTTATACCTGAGTATTTCAGTTTTGGATGCTAATGTAAATGGTACTGTGTTTTTAATTTCAAACTCTACTTGTTTATTGTTGATATAGAGGAAAACAATTTACTCTTATATATTAATCTTATATCCTGCAGCCTTACTATAGTATAATCACTTATTAGTTCCAGGAGGTTATTTTTGGATTTTCTAACAATATGATTGTGCCATCTGTGAACAAAGACAGTTTTATGTCCCCCTTCCCAATTGGTGTACCTTTTATCTCTTTTCTTGTCTTATTGCATTAGCAAGAACTTCCTCCAGTGCAGTGCTGAAGAGGAGTGAGTGGAGAGAGGGAACATCCTTGCCTTGTACCTGATTTTAGGGGGGAAGCTTCAAGTTTCTCAACATTAATTATGACAGCTGTAGAGCTGTTATAGTCTTTATTAAGTTGAGAAAGTTCTCTTGTTTCTGTTTTACTGAGTTTTTATCATAAATGCCTATTGGATTTTATCAAACACATTTTATACATCTATTAATATGACCATGTAATTTTTCTTTTTTAGCCTGTTGATATGAAGGATTACATTAGTTGATTTTTTGAATGCTGAACTAGCGTTGCATACCTAGGTTAAATCCCAGTTGGTTATGGTGTATAATTCTTTTAATACTTTTTTTAGATTTGATTTACAAGTATTTTGTTGAGGATTTTTACATGTTATGTTCATGAGAGATTTTGCTTTCTAGTTTTATTTTCTTGCAATTTCTTTGTCTGGTTTTGGTATTAGGGTAGTACTGGCCTCATGGAATGAGTTAGGAAGTATTCCCTCTGCTTCATTCCTTGGAAAAAGATTGTAGAGTACTGGTATAATTTCTTCCTTAAATGTTTGGTAGAATTCACCAGTCATACTGTCTGGGCCTGGTGCTTTCTGTTTTGGAAGGTTATTAATTATTGATTCAATTTCTTTAATAGATAATAGGCCTATTCAGATTGTCTGGTTTTTCTTGTGTGAGTTTTGGAAGATGGTGTATTTCTAGGAATTCACCCATTTCATCTAGGTTATCAAAATTGTGGACATAGAATTGTTCTTAGTATTCTTTCATTATCCTTTTTTGTGTGCATGGAACCTGCAGTGATGTCTTCTCTTTCATTTCTGGTGTTAGTCATTTGTGTCCTCTCTCCTTTTTTCTTAGTTAGCCTGGCATAGAGGCCTACTAATTTTATTGATCTTTTCAAATAACTAGCTTTTGGTCTTATTGATTTTTCTCTGTTGATCTCCTGTTTTCAATTTCATCCATTTCTACTCTAGTTCTTCTTATTTCTTTTCTTCTTAATTTGGATTTAATTATCTCTTCTTTTTCTCATTTCCTAAGGTAGAAACTTAGATTGGCGATTTTAGATCTTTCTTTTCTTCTAGTATATGCATTGAATTCTGTGAGTTTCCCTCTAAACACTGCTTTCACTGCATACAACAGATTTTAATAAGTTGTGGTTTTATTTTTATGTAGTTAAAAATATTGTAGAATTTCTCTTTAGATTTCTTTTTTGAGTTACGTGTTATTTAGAAATGTGTTAATAATCCCATATTTTGAGAATTTCCAGTTATCTTTCTGTTATCGATTTCTAGTTTAATTTCATTGTCCTCTGAGAGTAGACATTGTATGATTTCTGTACTTTAAAAAGGTATGTTTTATGGCATTATAAGGTACAAGGTCGATTAAATATATTAGGATATATATTAAGCTGTTGTATTGTGTATGACTTCTCATATGCCATTGGTCAGAACTTATATTGCGGCCACTCGTAAGGGGAGCTGTAAAATACAGCTTTTTTTTTTTTTAATAAGAAGCAGCTTTATTGTCATGTAATTCACATGCCATACAATTCTTCCATTAGAATTGTACAACTACATGTTTTTTGCTATATTAACAGGTAAGTACAACCATTGCCATAGTCAGTTTTAAACATTTTCATCACCTCAAAAAGAATTGCAGTACCTTTTGGCTATTATGGATAATGCAGTGATAAACATTTATTTACAAGTTTCAGTGTGAACGTGTTTTCATTTCTCTTGCATATATATCTAGGAGTGGAATTGCTGGGTCATATGGTAATTTTATATTAAGTCATTTGAGAACTGCCAGACTGTTTATCACAAAGCAGCTGCACCAGTTTACATTCTCATTAGTATTGTATTAGGGTTCCGATTCTTCCACATCCTCCCTAACGCTTGTTTTCTGACTTTCTGATTCTAGCCATTCTAGTGGGTATGAAGTGTTATCTCATTGTAGATATGATATGCATTTCCCTGATGAATAATAATGTTGAACATCATGTGCTTATTAGCCATTTGTACATCTTTGGAGAAATACATTGCCAATTGAGATACATTGCCCAATTTTTAATTATTTTTATTATTGAGATGTAATAATTCTTTATGTAGTCTAGATATAAGTCTCTTGTCATATATATGATTTTCAGATATTTTCTAGGCTTCTGTGGGTTTGCCTTTTCATTTTCTTGATAGGGTCCTTTGAAACAAGTTTTCTTTGAATTTTGATGGAATCATTTTCTTTCTTTTTTTGCTTATGTGTTTGGTTTCATATCTAGAAGTCTGTTGCAAAATCCTGTTTTATGAAGATTTTCTCCTGTTTTTTCTTCTAAGAGTTTTATACTTTTGCTCTTACATTCATGTCTTTGATCCACTTTGAGTTAATTTTTATATGTAGTATGAGATAAGGGTATAATTTCATTCTTTTGCTTGTGACTATCCAGTTTCTGTGTACCATTTGTTGAAAAGAATTCTTTTCTCACTGAGAAAAGATGGTCTTGGCATTTTTTGTTGAATATCACTTAACTATAAATGTAGGATTTATTCTGGACTCTCAATTTTATTCCATTGATCTGTATGTCTATCCTGTGCCAGTACTACACTATCTTGATTACCATTGCTTTGTACTAAGTTCTGAAATTGGGAAGTGTAAGTCCTACTTTATTCTTCTTTCTTGGGTTTGTCTTGGCTATTCTGGGTTTCTTGCAATTGCATACAAATTTTAGAATCAGCTTGTTAATTTCTACAAGGAAGTCAGCTGGGTTTCTGATGGGGATTACATTGAATCTAGATCAGTTTATGGAATATCGCCATCTTAGTTTTTTTAATCAAAAAGTCAATAAATATATATGGTAAAAAAAAAAATCAAGCAGTATACAAGAACATACAATGAAAAATAAATCTACTTCTCACAGTAGTCCCCTCCCAAGAGACATCAGCCTCTCTCTTTACAGTCTCCTTGATGCTGATTATTAAAAGTAGCTCTTTGGAAAGTGTTGAAAATATTCTATTTCAATATGTAATCATGCTAATATACATGTATATTTTAAAAACAGTGCTGGGTTTTGTTGCTGGTTTAATATGTCTCTCTGCTGATGTAATTTGGCAATATATATTACATATTTTTTAAGGTGACATAACCAAATCGCTAGGGAACTTCTAAATACCAAAGCATTTCACTTGGTATTAATATTTCTCTCGGTGTCTTTTATTTCTATTTGATATCTGTCATTTATTCTGTGCTACTTCTGTAAATAAAATATTTATATGATATGTATTTGTGTGGAAAATAATCACTTAATAATTATTGATTAATGAATAACTGATGAGCTTAATGCAAGAGAAATATACTTGGTATTATTCAACAAATGTTCACTAAATAAATGCCTACTGGGTTGAAGCAAGATCAGGGATACTACTGATTTTTTTTTTTTTTTAATGTTCTTTTGGCAAGCCTCTGCTCTTAACATATGAATACTAGGACCGTTTTATCTTTTTTGCATCGCTAAAAATTAATAGTCTTATTTTATTTCTGTCTAGATTGCTGAAGTCTCTTTTGCCAAAAAAATCACAAAGCTGTTTCTTTTAAATGTGTATGATTTTTGTTTGTTTTGTTTTTTATGCCATATTATGACAGTGTGAAACATTAAACAGTCTCTGGAGATTAGTGAAAGGGTTGATTGTATGTAAGTGTGTAAGTAGGTATGCATGTTAGGAAATATCTATTTAAAATAAAGTCTTAATTTGCTAAGAAAGATCTTAATGTGAGTAATGTACCAAAAGCTTACTTGACTATGCAAATTGCCAGATTTTAAATGATTGGGGATAATCAGCTTCATAGTATCCTAAACTGAAAAGATAGGCAGATGCCTATTTGGTAGAAATTTTGGGGAAATAATACTTTTCCTTTGTTGACAAATTCCTTCATTAGAAGTAATACTATATTATTTTTGCTTAAGAGGAAGGATTGCTTGTCATTGTTTCTTCTGAGACATTGTAGTTATTCTCTATTCTTTCCTACTCCTAAATTTTCTTATGGTAGGATTTATTAAAATATTTTGAACTTTATTTCTATTAAATAAAGATTAAATTCTAGATCTAGATTTGAGATATTGGAAATAAAGCATATGAAAAGATATTTTCACCAGTAATATCTATCAATAGAAATCATGTAAATTATTTTTAAGTATTTTTAAGAATTTTAAAAATGACTTTGCAGTATAAATATTGGTTTTTATATAACTTTTCTTTTGCCAGATGATGGACCTAGCCAAAGTGATTCTGTTACTGAGACTGCCATGACACTACCAAGTGAATCTAGAGTCAATGTACACGCCATCATCACATTAAAAATATTAGACTATAGGTATGTAATTCATTTTTTTAAATGTTGCAAAACACATAGGAAACTTTCAGAAATAATCCTTCAGAAAAATTGGTGAAGAATTCATCAGAGTGCATTAGTATTTAGAATAATAGCAGTTGCAAAAACAGTGATGAGATAAAAGCATATTAAAAGTACAGTGAACTTAAATGCCTATTCCTTAGGTGATTTGTGTTTATTAGGCTTAAGAGATAGATAAATGGTCATTAATAGTAAAATTTTTATAATAAAGAACATTTTATTATTATAAAAAATAAGAGTGACAGTATTCATTGGTAATAAAATTTTCTGACTCAGTTACCAGCATCCAGAGAGAATTTTATATTGGAGGGGTTCCTATATTGGTAACTAAAAAATAAGTATCATTTATTTAATGAACACCTCAAGCAGGCAAAGCGTGAGAGGTTGTACTCTGTTTATATATTTGAATACAAGTCAAATAATATGTCATAATAATGTGGTCTGGTAGCACATATGATAAACCTGAAATAATTACAATGTTGGTATATAAACTGAGTCAGAAGCCTAATAATTTTTATATATTATGGGTGTGTGTTCGATTGGAGAAAGAAGATACCTATGCAGAGATTGGAAGTGGTTGTCAAGTATTCTTCAGTACTATCTAAGGCAACAATGATAAAAACAACCAATACTGTCAAAACTCTTGCAGTGATTAGCTCATGTCTGGGTATTGTAATGAAAATAAAAAAGAATACAGACTCAAGTTAGATAGTGACTGGGTTTGTTCAGTTACCCACACAGCCAGCATTAATTTCTGGCCTCTTTTCCTTAATGTATCAGTAGGTACCACCTGCTGAGCGGTTAAGATTCAGTCTCTGTTTCAGATTTGTTATGTTCCGTTCACATAGAAATCACTACCCTAAGCCACCTTCCTTCTTTGACCCTGTAACACAGGGTAGTACTCTTCCCTACTTGTAGTTGTGTCCTTCTTCTCATAGCATAACATAGCAATTTAGCATGTCTTATCTTACATATAATATATCCATTTATTCAGTAGGTATTTTTGGAGTCTAGTAGGTATGTATCAAATTCTATGCTAGGTGTTGTAATACACTGAATGATCAGACACACTTGATTCCTGCCTTGGAATTTCTTAGCTTAAAATTCCTTTTATCTCTGGCTTCCATTCTCTCCACCCTGCATGGATATGATTTATTGAGTTTCTGTTCTGTGCTGGACATTGTACTAGGTACTTCACATATGCTCTTGCTTTTAATCATTTTAAAAAATCTATAAAGTAGTATTGATACAACTTTTTTTTGGTGGGGTATAATCATTCCCATCCTTTAAAGGTACAGATGTCACAAAAGCATAATGAAGATAGCGCTTAAGACCATACATCTTAAATTGTTTTGATTCAAAATTTATTGTAATTTGTTTTCCTTGGAGTCTTTAATTGGACAGGAGTATCCTATTTAAAATATAAATTATTTCCCAACCTTAAGGCATAAATGCTTTCAACTAAAGTTTTAAACATAGCGTAAATCTTCAAAGTTTAATTTGAATAAATCAGTTTCCCATGACTTGAGCATTTCTTTTTTTTTTTTTTTTTTTAAATGTTGAGCCTTCTTTTAATTTATTTTTATTTTTATTTTTGGCTGTGTTGGGTCTTCGTTTCTGTGTGAGGGCTTTCTTTAGTTGTGGCAAGCGGGGGCCACTCTTCATCGCGGTGCACGGGCCTCTCACTGTTGCGGCCTCTCTTGTTGCGGAGCACAGGCTCCAGACGCGCAGGCTCAGTAGTTGTGGCTCATGGGCCTAGTTGCTCCGCGGCATGTGGGATCTTCCCAGACCAGGGCTCGAACCCATGTCCCCTGCATTAGCAGGCAGATTCTCAACCACTGCGCCACCAGGGAAGCCCCTGACTTGAGCATTTCTGATGGAAAAGATAGAAGTGCTCCATCTGCACAGCAGAAAATGGGTCCTGAAAGCAAAAGTGGAAGGCATAATAACAGTGAAATCTAGGCTTTTTATCATTTTTTTTTACATTTTATCTTTCTGTATACTGTATGCTTTTCTTATACAGTTCTCCCATAACACACATTATATGTAATATTGTTTTCTTGCTCATACAGTCATTCAACATTCCATTGAAGATTCTTTTAAGTGGATGAGATTAGGCATTAAAAATTGTAAAAGAATAACATAAGCATAACAGCTAATTATAACATCAAATTGTTAAATCTGCAAACGTCAGTTCTACTATACTTTCATTTAAGATTAAATTTATATTTTATTGAAAATATAACTGAAAATTTTAATGAAAAGGAAATGTATTTATATGTTTATATTTGCAAAAAATCTGACATAAATAACAATGACTAATTCTTCAGATTCTAATTTCATAGAACTGAGGTTTAAGGAAGGTAAATTACAAAGCTTATTTTATTAATGGAAGAACCAGGAATAGTTTAATCCAAGGCCACTACCCTGTGTACCTTTTCACATGCTAAATGAGAGAGAAATTGGTTAGGTTATGAGAAAACTAGTTTAGTACAGTGTTGAACTTTTAAAAATGATTGTTGTCTTATAGTTAACTATATACCCAAAGGAAGTTGAGAGCTAACCTCTGTTAGAGATTTTTAAGAAAAGGGATGAGAACAGTTCTTTAAATTATACATTTAGTTTTACTCTGAGGTAGAGGAATCTATTTACTTTTCCTTTACTGTATGACTTTTGGACATCTTAGGCTCTGAAGATATCTCTGTTTTTATTCCCATTGAGTATATGACTACACAGAAGGTGTGGCACAAAGTGTTATGACACAATATGTTGTCTGAATTCCTAACAGTTAACATTTTGTGGGTTGGCAGGTTTTTTTAGCATTTTTTACAGAACTTCATAATCAACTACCTTGAAAAATCTCCATATGAAATCTTTAAAGGCCTTTAAAATGAAAAGCAATAATCATATCTTTCCAGATTGCTAAGAATGATGCATTTTAAACCATTTTTTATTTAGTGATAAACAAACAACTTTGATTCCTGATGAAGTGTTTGATGCAGTAAAAAGTAACATTATCACTTCTGTTAACTTCAGTAAGAATCAGCTGTGTGAAATTCCCAAAAGGTAAGAACTGTTCGTGATGCTATTTCTGTTAAGTTGTGAGTCATTCTCAGTTGTACTTGCATCTTAGTTGCAAGAATAATTATTTTTCATAGTTTTTTAATTAAAAAGTATATGTAAAGTTTCTTACATTGTTAATATTTGAGGGATTTGGTAAAATTTACTTAAGTATTCCCTGAGACACTTTTAACATTGGTTCTGAGAGATAGATAGGTTAAAACTTTCTTTTTCATTTACATTTTAAACTTGGAAAATAGGTATTAGAATTATTAAAAATATTACTTTTTTCCTATATAGTGAAATATCAGAGGAAAGTTTTAAGAGATCATCTAAAGCCAATTTCATGTAGATTAATAGAAATTTGGGGCTTTATGTTAATGAATTGCCAAGCCAGTGAATTTTTCCACTGAGAGTAAAAGCAAAATTGACAACTCTGTTAACATTTTCCTCCTAGAAAAGGATTCTTCATTTACAAACATTAGAAATCATTTGCATTGTACTTTGTACTGTTTAATACATCTCTCTCGATGTTAATTATAGCACAATCTTTAGGTTTTGAGAGAATATTAGTTTAGTATAGTGTTGAACTTCTAAAAATGATTGTTATCTTGCCATTAACTATATACCCAAAGAAAGTTGACAAATAGCCTTGCAATTAAAACAGTAGTATGGGAGACAGGATAGGGTAATCATAAAGAATTTGGGCAATAGAGTCAGTTGCTTGTATCTATATCCCAGATCTATGAGCTTTGTGGCTTTGGGCAGGTTAACTAGCTTCTCTTAGTTTCCTCAGTTGTGAAATAGAGATAATAATAGACCTATTTATAAGAATTAAATTAAATGACATATCCACTTAAAGCATTTTAACCAGTGCCTAGCACTTAATAAATACTTAAGTACTTTAAAAAAAAAGAAAGAAAAAGAAAAAAAAAGATGATGTATTGGGGAAATTTCATCTGACTGCCCAAAATTTTTTTAGATGGCTTAAAATTTTTAAAAAGTCAGACAAACTATTACTTGCTTTCTATTTACAGAGAATAGTTTGAGGAGTGTAGATCTTGAAAGATGATAACTTTAAGATATTCTACTGAGAAAGGAGATCTAGTTCATTTTCTTTTTCTCTCTTGTTTAACGTGTTCAGAAGGTATTTGATAGAATAGTTGAGCATTTAGATTGGCTCTTAGATAGGACAAGTTTGCCTTGGGGATCCTAGATCAAACAAGCTGATTGGGGATGAAGACGGAAGGAGTTAAAAGATATTATGTTATTGCTTACTTTCTCATTTTATCCCACAGTCTGATTATTTTTATGCAAAACAGTATGCTATTCTGTTACCACAGTTATTTCGTCATTTTTTTTCACAAGTCACAAAATTGATTGCAAAAATAATACTTATTTATAAAATATTGGACTAAATGAAGAGACAAGTAATTTATGGTCTCATCACTGATTTATTCTATTGACTTCCTGGCATATTTTATTTCAAGCTGCTACCCATTTAGAATTATACATGTAATTCGTATCTTGACTGGTTTATTTGTCATAAACATTTTCCCATATTGTAAACAATACTTTAAAAATGTAATTTATCTATATACCATAAGCTTGATTGTAAATAAAACAAAACACTGTAATCTCTAAACCAAATTTTCAGAAGAATTACTAAATCAGAGTATGGCTCTTGATACATAAGTCCAAAAGCTTTCCAAAAAAGTTTTATCAGTTACATATCCAGACTCATGGTATCTTTCATGATGGTATCTTTCACTTTTAATCTTCTTTAGCACAGCATTTGATATTCTTTCTTTCTTTTTTTTTTCTTTGCTAATATGATAGACAAAAATGATTTACAGTTTAACTTTTGTCTTTTGGCAAATCGTATGTAACATCTCTTGTTCTTAAATTAATATCATACTTTCAAACTACTAAGTTTGATCAGGTTTACTTAGAAGTATTTAATTCTTCCTCTCTAAGTGTTTGACTTAAGTTGCTTAGTAGTAACACTTAGCAAACCTAGGAATTAACTTACTGTTTTCTTGCAATCATGATTAAATGATAATTTGGATAAGAGATACTATACTTTTAAAATGTTGCCATATCATATTTAAAAAGCATTTTGATGTATCAGATACTTCTGGTACTTAGATGGTTTTATATTATGAAGTCTAAAACAATAACTACGATGTTACAGAATATGTCTTAACAATTTATTTTATGGATTCAAGTCACAGATATAGTATAAACATTGCCTAGATTGAATTTTTTTGTCTATAATTGGTTTAAATATAAACTGAATGGTTTCTTAAACTTCAATCTACATTTAAGGTCAAATAGAAATTCTTGGACAGATAATATTATGGCTATTTTTAAAAACCTATTTTTATCAGTTACACATCCAAACTGATTGCAATTTTTATGAGAAAAGTAACAGTTACAGAAAATCTTAATTAGCAAAAATAATGTAAGATTTTTTTCCTCTATAGTCTGCTTGTAGTTTTTAAGTTCTGACAGTGAATTCAAATAATATTAACATTTAAAAATTATTTTTGTTTCAGGATTGTGGAACTGAAGGAAATGGTTTCTGATGTCAATCTCAGTTTTAATAAGCTTTCCTTTATATCCTTGGAATTCTGTATGCTTCAAAAATTAACTTTTTTAGATCTCAGGTATTTATTGATACTGTTGCTTCCCTTTTTAAAAAATTATTTATTATTTATTTATTTTATTTATTTATTTTTGGCTGCATTGGGTCTTCGTTGCTGTGTGTGGGCTTTTTCTAATTGTGGCGAGTGGGGGCTACTCTTTGTTACGGTGCGTGGGCTTCTCATTGCGGTGGCTTCTCGTTGTGGAGACAGGCCCGTGGGCTTCAATAGTTGTGACTCGTGAGCTCTAGAGTGCAGGCTCAGTAGTGTGGCCCACGGGCTTAGTTGCTCTGCGGCATGTGGGATCTTCCTGGACCTGGGCTTGAACCTGTGTCCCCTGCACTGGCAGGCAGATTCTTAACCACTGTACCACCAGGTCACTGTTGTGGCGTCTCCCGTTGCAGGGCACAGGCTCCGGACGCGCAGGCTCAGTGGCCATGGCTCACGGGCCTAGCCGCTCCGCGGCATGTGGGATCTTCCCGGACCGGGGCACGAACCCGTGTCCCCTGCATCGGCAGGCGGACTCTCAACCACTGCGCCACCAGGGAAGCCCGCTTCCCTTTTTTAATAATAACTTAGCTTTGTGTTTTACCTAACTTTTGCCCTTTCCCTCATGTTTTTCTAAGAAAAGAAATTGGTCTTTAGTTTATTAATAACATTTTAGGAGAAATCTGTAATTAAGCATTTAGGAAATATTTTTATCAGATGTCATCTGAAGGTAATTTACAAGTTATGTGACAAGACAAAATTGCTTAAAATATTAGAAAATATTAATACATTATTTAGATTCATGCTTGGGCAAAATTACAGATAGCACATGGAAAGTGTTTACTTCACATCTGTCAGAACCACAGCAGCTAGCATGACTTCTCTCAAAAAGAACCTGTTTGGTTTCAAAATATTATATTAACCATGCAAGGCAAGAAATAAAGAAAAAGAACACTATGAGTGGCAATAAAAGGAAAAGAAACTATTTAAGGCTCTACAGAGATAATAGGAAGTTTAGTTTAAATATGTCCTAAGTTGAAGTGACAGGATCAGAAGTGTCAGTTTTTTGGGGGTAATAATAGGTATTTCAGGGTTAGACAGTCATTTATTTTCTTGGGCTTTAAAACTTAATTTGTAAAATATGTTTCTATTACCTGGGCTTCTTACTGTTCATGTGTTGTTATTTTTAGCTGCTCTTGCTTTGCTCAAACAATAAATTACAATAAGCTATTTATATCTGTTTGAAGATTTATTCTTCCTGTAGAGACAAAATTTTTTTTTTATGGGATTAAAGCAAATATACTAATAACTCTGCTCCTGCTAAATGTGGAATTGCTTCTGTTTTCCAGGGGCAATTACACTGGCAAAACAGTTTAAAACCTCATTTTAGTTCAGTATTAATGGAATAGTGAGAATAAATTCCTGCCTGCATTGCTGCTGACTTTATTTTTCATCCCATTCTCCTCTGTGTGTGTGTGTGTGTGTGTGTGTGTGTGTGCGGATGTGCATGTGCACGCGCACGTGTGTATGTGTACGTGCGCATGCCTCTGTCTATAACTATACCTGGACATTTCTAATTAAGTGACTAAAATATGCCTTTATGTTTGCTATCAGTAGGTATAAGACTCCAGGAAAAGATAGAAACCATCATTGTGTTATTCAGCACAAATTAATAAAGGCAATAACTGGAGAAAAGTACAGAGAAAAGAAAAAACAACATATGTTGAGTTGAGAAAGTATGACTCATATATTAGGCTTGACTTCTGAATGCAAAGATATAGGTTAGAGAAAATTATTCAATTGTGATAGATAGCCGTCTAGTTGGATATAACTTTTTCACAAATATTTTCTATTATTAGTACTTATACAGCCTCTAGAGTGCTTCTACCTTCTTGTTAACCTTTCTTCTAAAATTGTTCCCAGATCATTTCAGTAGTAAATGAGATTCCCTTTACTGCTGTGTTTTATTGTAAGATCTTAAAAAATTACACTGTGCAAATTGAAATTCTAAACTTAGAGTAGAAATGGACTTACTTAATACTTATGTAGTAGAAAGCACCAAGTTTCTAAATATATAGAATCTCTTTATTTTCCTGTTTCATCTTTTTCATGTAATTTTTCAGTTGTTCTTGGAGTAGAATTTAATGTCTATATGTGAAATGTTTCTATTAATCAAATATTTATAGTACTTGTGATATCAAATACTGTAGTATTTATAAGCATAACCGAAAGGGCTCTGGCTGTGGAAAGTATTGTTGATTGCAGTTTGAAGGAGATAAGGAATTAGTTTATAGTGTTTACCCTGTTAAATCTATTATTAAAGAGTTAATTGCAGTATCAGTTGGTTGCGCATTGCTATTAGGATTTGGCACATTAATCAAATACTTGAAGCAGCTGACCGATTCAGAATTCTCAGGACACAGCCTTAATGAAATCAAGAATTGACAAACTGAGCTGCATAAATTTTTGTCTGGTCAACATTTTAATTATAAACTAAAGTTGTACAGATTTTCAAACTTTGTAAATCATCTTTTTTCTCTCTAATTTAGGAATAATTTTTTAAATTCTTTGCCTGAAGAAATGGAATCATTGATAAGACTACAAGCAATCAACCTTTCCTTTAATAGGTAAGAAACAGAACAGACAAATCTGAATAACAATTTTCTGTGGAAAATGTGTAGGTCTTTCTAGAGAATACAACTAAAAGAACCAAATAAACAAAAAGGCCCTATATGTTTTCTTTATTTAAATATCCAGGTTTATTTTCACTTAGTTCTACTTAGAATTAAAAGTGATGTTGCTTTTTTAGAATTTTCACAACTGATGTCTAGTAGATTTTTTGTTTCTTTTAACCATTTTAAGAAACCTGTAAGCTAGTAGGAAGACAAATATGCAAATAAATAATTCTAATCGCTGTAGTGGAAGCACAGTGCATAGACATAAGTGTTTCCAGAGATTACTTGAAGGTAGAGGAGGTAGCTCTGAAACTGAGGCTTGGAAAATAGACATTTGCCAGACACACAGGGATATGGCATCCCATGTAGAGCAAATAGCATATACTAAGGCACAAGGATGTGAGGAAATGATGGGACACGTCAAGGAGCTCAATATGGCTCGGACCATAAAGTGGGGAAGTAGAAGAGTGGAAGTCACAAATGAAGTTGGGTGTGTAAGCAGTAGCCAGCCCTTTAAGAGCTTTTTATGCCCAGTGAAATTTAGATTTTATTCTGTAAACACTATGAAGATACTACTAATAATTAAGAATAGCTAATATTTATTGGGAGCTTATTTATTAATATTTATTATCTGCTGACTCCAGACTAAGTACTTTACATGTATTACCTCATTTAATCCTCACAAAAGCCCTACATGGTAGGTTCTGTTTATTATGTCCATTTAGAAATCAAGGATTAGGAATTAAGTAACTCACTTAAAGTTCACATAGATTATAGAGCTGGGGTTTGAGCCCAGGTGGTTTGACTCTAGAAGTTGGGCTCTTAACAACTATGTCATATTGTTTCCTATGGTGAAAGTTGATTCTGGTAACAAGTTAATATAATTATTAGTAGCTATCATTTAATATATTACAGATACTATACCAAGGTCTTCAAGTATATAAGTTTAGTACTATTATTATTCCTCATTTACAGATGAGGAATCTAAGGCACAGTGATGTTAAAATATTGCCTATTTAAGTTTTTGTTCTGTCTACTCTATTACTTGTGTTTTTTCCTGTGTAGGTTATACCACTATTGTCATTATTTAAAAATATATGCACTTCTCAGATTTCTTCTAATTTTTATTTGTGAATTGAACTATCGGTTCTCTATTGAGCTATCAATTGCATTGTTAATTAATGTCTTTTGGGGAGCTGGCAAAACCTAACCCTAACTTCTGTGTTAACTGGTGAGCTACATCTCTTTTAATTGCCTTGTTTATGGGTTGTGCGGGGGAAAAAGAGGAGATACTACTTAGGGTGGTTTGGTACATCTGTACACCTTGTTATTGATTCTCCGATCCCTCTGTAACTTCAAAGGTGCCTTGAGTTTACTGTTCATTATTGCTTTTTTTTTTTTTTTTTTGAACATCAAGGCAGCAAAGGAAGGGCAGTATGGGGAAGTGAAAAGGCCAACTATAAAGCTTTCTTTCAGCTCATCCTTGTCTTTTCTAGTTGAGGCAGCAGTTTGCCTCACACTAAAACCAAACTAGCTTCTGTCCCCCAAGAAATCCTCAGGGATTTTGTGTTAATTACTGAGAATTGCTCTGAGAGCCATAAGCTTTCCCATCTCTCTTGTGGCATATTCAGGGCTGCTTTGGGTGAGAAAGCCAGCAGCCTATAGTAGTTTTGTCATTTTTTCAACAACCAAAATGAGTGTAGTTTTGGTTGTTGAAAAAATGACAAAACTAGTCAGTTTCGAAGCTTAAGTCAAAGCAAAGTATAAATCTCTTAACTTTTACTTAAGATATTGGCAGTGATTCTCTTTCATAAGAAGTAAAAGTGAACTAAGGAAGAATACCTACATGGAGACATTATACTGAGAGCATTTCAGGAAGATTTCCTTGTCTCCTGAATGAGAAAAGAAAAACATAGGAGAATTTACTCCAAACTTTTGTTTGATTTTATACATTAAATAGAAACTGTTACAAATGTGTCCACTTAACATGTATTTCAAGGTTTCCAGAATTAATCCAGTTTTAAAAAATTTTCTGAAAAATTTAAATGCAGAACTTATACCAAATATTAAAAACTTACATTAAGAAAACTTTATCTCATGGTATCAAACTTAGGACCATCTATTTGAAGGAATGATTTTGCTTCTGATTCTAATATATTTAGGTGTTCTGTTCATATTCTTATAGGTTCAAAATACTACCTGAAGTTCTGTATCGAATTCCCACACTTGAAACAATTTTGATTAGTAACAATCAGGTTGGATCTGTGGACCCTCAGAAAATGAAGACAATGGAAAATCTGATTACATTGGACCTTCAAAATAATGACCTCCTACAAATTCCACCAGAGCTCGGTAATTGTGTGAACTTAAGGTAAGTGCACCATTCTACTAAGTTTTTCCATTCAATTTGTTGAAGGGTTGTTTTTTTGTTTTGTTTTGTTTTTAGTTTTTTGAGGTACTCTTGCAGGCAAGTTGAAATAAAAAATTTAATGTCCCATTAAAAATAACAGGTAACAAAACTCTGAATCCCAATTCTGTTTTTCAGATGTTACCAAATATATTTTTTAGTTTTGTTTATACAGTATGTATATGTGTAAATACAGCAATTGATTGTTTCTAGTGATACTTTTCTCATCACTGTGTATGTGTATAATCTGAAACTCTACTGCATAAAAATGTCAAGGAAATATAAATTCCTTAGCTGTGCATATAACTTTTTTCAATATCTGATTACAGACTACTACCATTTTTTCAAGGCCAGCATAGTCTTTCTTACTCTGTGTTTGCTGTTACCTCAGCCTCAAGTGCCTTTACCCTGCTTTTATCAGTAATCAACCTAATTATCACCTTTGAAAACCTTTCCGATATTCCAGGCAGAGTTAGTCCCTTCTCTGATTTCCCATCCTGCTTTATTTGGACTCATTTATACCATTTCTTTGTCCTCCTTTGGAAGAGTTACCCCAGTGCCTAGACCATAGTAAGCACCTAATAAGTGCTTGTTAAGTGAATATAAAGGGAATTTGAGACATGAACAGAAAGCCCAGTAGTTAACAGAATGTGTCAGAAAAATTTAATTATTGAAAACTGCATATGATGGTTTAGCATATTTTACTTTACTAGAGTGGCACAAGTATCTTTCTCTGGTACCTCACAATACTGAATTATAGAAGACAAGTAAGTTGATTATTGTTCTGTGCAATAGTTGTATTCTATAAAGTCTCCGTGAACACCAAATTAGTAAATACTAAACCATTACTCCCTAGGGGAAATAACAGAGGCTCTTTCAAGCCTCTGGTCACGTTTTCGTCAGCCAGTCAACATATAACCTTGTGTTATGTGTGTTTCTGTATTAAGATGCCTTATTTAATATTGTTGATTCATTAATATTGAGCTATGGCCAAACAGCACTGTGATTTATGCCTGAATGAAGCTTATCTAACATACGTATCTTCTGTGTAAGATACATGACATCCTTCTTGTGCTTAGAAAAACTAGACAACACTTCAGCATTACACTTGCAGGCCATATTAAACAGTGAAATCACCAAGAAAAGGTACAATAATACAAAAAATGTTGCACTAAATAGACCATGGAAGGAACATTTGTTTACAGTATGGGAGCTGAAACGAAAAAGGCAGAGTGTCACCTTGTTTGAGCTCAGTTGGGAATGTGCCTGTCAAGTGACTCAAATTTTTTGCTGCTCTGTGCATGTCCAAAATGACCTTCAAAATGCCACATGTATTGATTTGGGGGTTACTGGTAAATTTTAGTGAGTAGGCAAATTAGCAAATTTGGAGTCTGTTTGAGTAATGAAGATTGACTGTAAGTAACTTTTTTTCTATAAATTAAGAAAATCATTCTTTAAAATAATTCCCAAGGTACAGGAATATTTGAAGATATAATTTAGATCTATGGTATAATATGTTGTGAATCCTTTGACTTTTATTTACATAAACACTTAAAAGTTATTGAAAATTAATATAAAAGTCTCTATCTTATAATTTAAGATATTTCATTAATTAAATAAAGAAACAAATTAACCAGCACTTAGATCTTAAACTGAACCTCATTTCAGAACATTTAAAATAGATTTTATATATGTGTCTGGTCAAGGGAAGGAGTATGAAGGCAGACGTGTTAATGTTCCCAGTGTGGAAAAGGATATATCGACTATGTTATAGTCTTTGGTATGAGTATTTGTCAGTTTGCTCATTCTAACACTTGTATAAATATAATTCACCCATTTAATATGTGGTCATTATAGGATTGAGAAGGTGATGGGTAAAATGATGGTTCATATCGCAGCTCTTCTGTTTAATAGCTGTGTAATCTTGGACAAGCCTTTCTTACCTTCCTGAACTTGTGCTTCCTTATCTATAAAATAGAAATATTAATGGTGCCTACATCACAGGGTTGTTAAGATAATTAAGAGAGTCAGTGAATGTAAGTTACTTAGAACAATACCTTTCACATAATAAGTATTCATTTAATGTTGTTTCAGTCATTGTAGTTACAATTCCAATTGTTTTAATGCTTAGATTTGAAAAGGGACAAATTTTTAAAAACACACAAGTTTTACTTATAAAATAGCAAATGAAATTAGAAGAAAAGGCTCCCTAATGGAAAATGTTTTAAATTCTTAATTTCTCTCCTTTGTTTAGGACATTGCTACTAGATGGAAATCCGTTCCGCGTTCCTCGAGCAGCCATATTAATGAAAGGAACAGCTGCTATTCTGGAATATTTGAGAGACCGAATTCCTACTTAAGTTGGAGTTGTTATATAATCTTGGTCATGTTAATTCTTAGAGTTCTTAGATTGATAACTAACATATTTCTAAGGTATCATGTACATTTATAATGGTGTAACTACGTATAGTGTTCATACATTTGCTCTGAATGTTTTGCATAAGATTTATCCTCACTTTCATTCCCTTATAACACAGCAGTTTCTTCAGAAGTGAATTTTTATTTATCACAGTTTAATATTTTTATAATGACAAAGCATTGTTGTAGACGTGGGGTTTTTTTTCCCATTTCTGTTTGTGTTACGTATATTATGACCAATTTACTTGAATATGACCATCTAATTTCTACCTTTTTATTGGATATAAAATTGAATTGAATTTTGTTTAATACTGTTCTTTGGCATTTAAAAAAATAAGACTTTTCATTATCCATAATAGGACTTTTATGATGTGGTTGGTGTCAGTATAAGTTTCAAATTAATATTTACTGGCTTGTTTTTGTTTATATAGTTGAAATGTTTTTTCCTAGCCTTTTTTTACATGTTTCATGAAATCGTTTTGTTGGGGTTTCTAATGTCACAGAAATGCTACATAAGATATGGTTATTGGTGGAGAAAATAGTAAAAGTGTTGTTACAATTGCTCTCACAATTCTGAATTTAAAACTTGACTGGGTATGTTTTTTTTTGTAAGATGTCTTAGTGTTAAGTTTCCATACAGTAGTCTAGTACTTCTAGATTCAACAAATTTAAAGAAACTGGATCTGCATATTTTTCCCTCAGAGCGTGAGCATTTAAAAAATACCTTTTGTTCTTTAAAAAACAAAGTACTGAAATTTTATTAATTTTTATGGATAACAGCAACAGAAAATAATAGCATATACTACATAGAAATCTTGAAATGTATTTTGTTTAAATACTTACTAAGCAGGTATTTGTATATATAATTACTCTGTTGATGTGTTCTAATCCATCCTTGTGCCTTTTTTTTTATTTCCAGGGTCTTAATTTTTAAATTTGCTTGTAGTCATGTGGTAATTTTCTAAAAGGGAATTTGTTATATTTGATAAAAATCAAATATAAACATTTGTATTTATACCAAAAATATCAGAAGTAAGTAGGCTAGTCAGTCATTATAAAACATACTATGTGATTCTATTAAGTAACTAATCAATAGAATGTATATTAGTTTATATAAATAGATGGGTGGATAGGTATATAGGTAGGTAGGTAGATAGGTGGATGGATGGATAGATAGCTTTTGGATGATTGAGACATGCTCTCATATTATGAAAAAAAATCATTGCTAATAAAGATAAATACTACATGTTCATTAAAAAGTTACATTTTTCAAATATTGATTACAATGTTTATGTTTTTGGTTTAAAAGAAACATGCCCTTTTCATACAACAACTCTGTGGCTGCCTAAGAAATCTGCTTCGGTATTAAACAAAAGACATTTTACAATAAGGTGACATTTTATTATTTATACAATAAAGAGACTTTTATGTTATTCAAAACACTTTTTTAAATACTGAAAAAGTTGAGTACACCAAAGCCGAAAAATGGCTCTGCTATACACTGCACAGCATTATTTTAGTCCCTGTATTTTGTATCTGTACAGAAAGCATCTTCAAAATGCATTCTAATCACATTGTACACCTTTACTGATTAGTGTCAATACGTAAAATAAAACTGGAGAATACAGCTTGCATTTGCAAATTAACTGACAAAGTAATTTCACTGATTCAGTAAATTTAAAATATAGATTCATAGCACTTCTTTGCACATAAAATGAAGCAGCTTTCAAGGTTGTCATGGTCTCATACTGCCAAAAAAACCATTAACTACATTCACAATCTATGTTAACAAAGTAGTAAATATGTCTTCATTCAGTTTTTATTTACATCAATATGTAATTCAACTAGAAAGTACTGTTAATTGTGATACAGTAATTTCTTTTTTAACACATACAAAAATGACATTTTTTATATATAATTTGAGCTCAAAATCACAATTATCTCAAAATATTAATTACAATACAGCCATTTCAATTAAACATGTCATGATTTAACTTTTTATAAAATGGTAAAATTTGTTATTAAAGTAAGCAATTTGTTTTGAATTGGCTAGAGTTCACCCACGTAGAAAACCTTAAATGGTAAGAGGTGTTTCCAGCCCCCTCCCACCCGAATTTGTATATAGCCACCTAAGCTAGCAAAGAGACAGAAAAGGCCCCAATTTATAAAGATTAAGCCTCTTTTGCTATACCGCTGTGGCTTGTTGTTTCTTCCATAAAAGCTTTACAAGGGTAGTGTCAATAAACTATGCAGTGAAATGCATGCATTAATATACAGTATGTCTGTAAAATGTTAGTGTTTAGTGCACATTAAAATGTTCACAAAGACTGCAAAAGAAGTCATAAATAAAGAAGCACTTACAAAAATCTACCAATTGCAAACTGTAAACTTGAAAATTACTTGATAATATAATGGAATTTCTTTGAAAACAGATCCCAATTCAAGTTCTTTCTCTGGCTAAAGGAGCTCTAGTTACTTGGCCTTAAGATGTCACTGTTTAGCTGCACATATGGTAGAGAAGTCAGATGTCATAAAAGAATATGAGTCTAGAGACTGTCTTCATTTTACTGAAATAGTGGCCCAATGTTGCATCACTGTTTAGGATTTTTTTTTAAACTTACAGAAGAGTGAAATATTTCACTAACTGAATTATATGACCTCAAATGAAAAATGGAAAATTTGTGTGTGTGTGCATGTGTTTAGCATATGGAAAAGTATTAATATAAATAGGTGGAATTAGAGCTTCATTATACAGTAATAAAAGGATTATGCCCCAAAATAAATGAGGTCAAAAGAAATCAATTATCAAATAGTTTAGGGATGAGAGAATTTTCATGGATACTTAAAAATCCTAAAAACGTAGTATCTAGTTTCTTTTTAATTCTTAACAAACCAATTAAAATTTAATCACTATCTTTGTTTAGAATTGCTGTTGTTAATTTAATATTTCTTCTCTGAATCAAAAGAGGCCATAGTTCATATTTATGGTTTACTTATATACCGCTGGGTGGGGTCATGCCCTTGGCTGGTTATAAAGTGGGAAAAATGAAACTACAGTAACTGCAAACCTTACTTTTTGCAAGGCTGTTTTTGATGGTCTTTGAAATTTACAAACAGAACTCAGTAGATTTTTACCTCTGATTTTTCAACTAGGAAAAAATTCCTCTTTCATATGAAGACAGTGTCATTGTCCTTAAGCTTCCTTTAGTCCCTTCTATACACTGAGTACAGAGAGAAACTTGATTGGCTCTTGACACAAAAATATCTGGTTTATCTGTCAATTATGTTTCTCGTGAATACTAAGGCTTGCATTTTTGAGGAGGAAAACGTAGTTGAGGATGTTAAAGGGAAATGCCTAAACACCATAAAGCAGTATTAAACATTTATTGCATTCCATTGACACTAGGTGTCATCAAAGCTAAAACCAAATTTTCTAGAGTAAAACTTAACATAAAACATTCCTTTCTGCCCTGAACAGTTGCCTCTCCACATTCAAGACCAGTAAGAGTCCTCTGAGTGGAAAGACTGCAAGTATTGAAAATAACATTTATTTTAGCAGTACATTCTGAAAATAAATTACCATAGCAAATATGGGAACTGCTTTATGTTCTATCTGCCTGAGAGTTTCATCTTGGTTTTCCTGTGGACTATTCAAAAAATTACGTAAGATCTCCTGACTAAATAAGGGAAGGGGATTAGGGAGAGAAAGATACAAAGAAATATTTTTTTTCCCATTCATCAAATACTTCCACTAGCTATCATAAAGGTCAGTTGACCTGCATACCTGGGCATTATTTAACCTCATTACTTTACATGTGCAAAACAAGTGTGCAAAGAAAAACACCTATGTATGTCTATACAGAGACATAAAACCTGAGTCACAATAAAAAGTTTTTAATATAAGAAAACTTTTCTTAATGTAGGAAAATAATTTCTAAAGGGCCAAAAATACCTTTATACAATATAATCTGCTAACTTTAAAACTCAGTGTGCATAAGCATCACATATTTTTTAAGACCCAACAAAAAAAGGAATCATTTACAGTTTTCTTAACTATAGCTTAGATACCTATATTTCAATTTCTAACATCTATTTTCATTCCCCTGAATTCATTAACTTTTCTAAAAGAAAAAGTGAAAAGCACATTCAAATATGAGGACTGTTTAATTTCTGATGAACAGTTCCTGCTTTTTTCTAAATATTGAGGACATAGGAGATTTGGGGTTGCTAGGCATATAACTTAATGTCAAGCCACAAAGCAATTCTAAAGTTCAAAAGAAAATATATAATAAACATTACTTGGAAAAATATTTTGTGGATAGAGTTGGGCCAAAGTCTGCATGAAGCCATTCTTATTTGCAGCCTCCCTTTCTGCAGATGATTCACTCTTAAAAACTCCTTTCCCTGCACTCCCATTTCCTTAGCTTTCATTTTATTTCATTTCCTTAGATTTCCATACTTAAACCCTGGAATTGTGCCGGCTGAAGCTCCATGGTTCACATTCAGCTACAAGGTACAATGTCTTCTTCACTTAACTAAATCTTTATCTCTTCCTCTTCAGGAGCTCAGTTTTCTGGGATGACTCCCTGGCCCTCTCTCACATACCCCTTTACTTATTAGGGAAAAAAAATCTGTGTCCCTACTGTCTTATCACTAGACACTGATTTAAGGATAATTCAAGACATACTTATCTCCTGGGCTGTATACATCTCAGATGCATGCTGAGAAAAATTTTATAGAAAAATGAGGGCAAGTTGCTTCTCCATCTGCCCCCAGATGACATTGTCATTAATTATGCATTTATGTCAGGTAAGTCACTGACAGAACAGGAAGCCATCTGAACCCAAAGGTTCAATCCTTGCTTGCCTCTGTAGTTGGGTATAGGGCCCTGGCCCTTTCAGTACTTGTATCAACAGATGAAGGGATTCTGGACAGTGTCCTT